GAATAGGAGCTTTTAAAAGCACTATTTGTGATGAACTAATAGTAGTTTAAAAAGAAAAAGGCAAAGCAGATGTCAACTTGTATGTAATTTTAACATAGAGTAGCATTTTTTCTCTTTCAATAAGAAAATGCAAATTTTATACTTACATATCTGGATTTCTAATAGTGATTACATTTAGCCTTAAAATGGAGTACTACACTGGAGTTTTGAAGGGTCTAATTTACCAAACATATTAAACTTATCTCTACCAAAGACAAAATAATTGTACTGGAAGTGATTTATCTACCACCCCACTAACTGGGACCTGGGGAGAAAATAAGTCAATGTGAGCTAAGATGCTGTCTTCTTCCCTGACACCTTGCTCACACTCACTTATATGTGTATACAGTAGCTAATACCCTTGGGGAATAAGAGGCAGCAAAAATATACTCCTGCTCAGGAAGAGAGAGGTGCTAGGGATAAGAAGATCTGAGTCCTGGCATTGCACAGTTTTGATCAAACCTGTTCAAATAATACTTAAGTTGTTTTTCCTGCTTCTTCATGGAACAGGAAAAATGAGAACTGGAGAATTGAGAGTTGGATAAGGACTAAACCATCTTTACCCACACAACTAATTAACTGTCCTACTTTTCTTTATATGACTGCTGTGAAGAGATCTTATTTTGGTTGAAATGAGTTAGCTGGAAAAACTTAAAATGGATTGTTTGTATTTTCATTATCAACAGATTACATAAAAAAATCCCTTATCATTTCTGAAGAAGCATGAATAAAATAGAACTTTGCAATCTTGTTGAGTAAGAATGAATAAAATAGAAGCATGAGTAAAATAGAACTTTGCAATCTCTAACCAAGAGAAGTGAGATGGAGGATTGCATTTCATTTCTCTGTTAGTTTTCACATTATTATTATTATTACTACTACTACTACTATTTTTTTTACTATAACAGATCATTGCACCCCAAAGGATGATAAGCAGACCAGCATCCTCAAAAAATACTTGACATTTTATTAAAAATGCAAATTCTCAAATTCACCCAGACCTGCTGAATCAGAGTCTGTGGAAGTCCATCTTAGGAGTTTGCATTTCAACAACCTTTCAGGGTGATGTTTAAGTATACTAAAGTTCAAAAAGCATAGCTTTGGAAAATGAGAGTGGGCAATAAAAGAAAAACAAGGGGGCATAAAGTGAGCGAGTTTTGTGATTCCTCCTACTGAAGTTCAAAGAAAATTATTCAGAAATTAAATTAAGTTTCTTTTGGTATTTGGAGGAGAAATTGTACTGTTGCAAAGCAACTTTACAGAGATAAGGAATGGTCAATCCCAGAATGACATTTCTACAAAGTGGGGGATTGGGTGTGTTGGGGGAGATTACATACATTATATTACAGGATGCCAAATTCTAATACAAATGAATACCAATGTTCTAGAAAGGTTTTGTGCTACCAACATTACTGTCCTCCTTTGTTATGAATATTCAGAGATATCCCCAAAATTGCTGCATCTGTGACCCAAGGTGCTATTTCTATGTATACTTATGATATGGGCTAATTTGCTTCACAAGTTTTTTCTGAGCACACTCAGCCTGCAAGTTATGCTTAATATTTTCAGACAAAGCAACTGTCATTCCAAGAAGGAGGTTTTATTTATATATTTAAGTGTAATATCTTCCTGTAAATGGTAGATTCCTACTCAGTAATTAATGACTAAAAGAGTAACGGAACCTGGAAATAGAGTTGTAGAAATAGTGAGCTCTTCCCATGAGAAAGTGAGTAAGAATGTCCCAAGGAACCAAAAAGTTAACAGAGGCTAAACCAGCTATAATATTTGCTTTCTAAATAATAGTATCTAGGAAATTATTAGAAAAAGAAATGAAAAATATCACAAAAAAGAACAGGGAAAACTACTACCATACTACTATTTTACTCTTCAGAGTCTGAGGGTGTACAATGACAGTGAGGTAAATAAGATTATTATTTGGCAAATTTGACCAATTTAAAAATTGAAACCCTTAATTATCTTCCCTGTAGTTATTCTATTTCCCAACTACTAGTATTTATAAAAATAAAATTTCCATCCCTACAATTTCTTATGATGACAAAAGAAAAATCTTATTCTTGGTTATGATATTTGTAAAAGTCTTTAGGTTATCCATTTACCCTTAAAGAAAAGTCCTAACACTGATGTGCAAATATTTTTATTGTCTACCTTTAGTAGATATTACAGCAGCTTCTAATTAAGTCCAGATGATTAATTATTATTTTCACTGCTTATCTAGACAAAGATGTAAGGGTATTATATCTCCTTCCTGACTACAGAGGGTCTCCTTGCACACTTGATTAATTTGTTTTGCTTTCAGATTAAGTGAAGCATAAAAATAAATAGCAGTTTTGCCCAGGTATCTGAAGAAATATTCACAATGATAATAGTAGAAAAAACTTATTGCTCTAAAAGGAACATTTGTTGAGGCTTTGTTATTGATGAAAAGAGGAAAAATGCCTTAGTAAATGTTTTGGTAATTTGAAAGTTTTCTCCATTAATATTGTCTATGTGCAAATGTGCACCTATAAAATGATTGGAATTGAGAATATTAAGGTCCTACTTACAAAAATAATACAGTGACCATAGAAGAAATCAAGGAAGATTAGAATCTCATTTATAGATCAAGTCTACTGTAGAAAACTTAGAAATACTGTTGTCTTAATAAAATAATATTACTGCACATGAAAAAAGTTAGATAAATATAAGCAAACTATTTTGATAAAGCATTTTATATTCTCTATAGTGAAATGCATTTTTGACGTTAGTAGTCATATAAAGCTTTTGAGAGACAATGTAATTTGTGTTTATATAAAAGTATCAGATCAGGATGTATTCAAAGGCCTAGTGTATATACCTGCATGTGTGTGCATATGTGTGCATGTATGTGTATATATAAATATATATTTATCCCTGTGAAGCAATAATTTGTTAATTATTTACCTGATTCAAGATTTCATTTTAATTACGTAACTACATAGTTGTAAATAATTTGTTGTTCCTTTCATATATTATCCAAAAGAGTAAAATTAAAATGTTAATAATACTCCAAAATGTATGGTGTAATATAAAAGGTAATTTTAATTCTACGTGATAATTTTTCAACTTGCCTTAAATCACAAAAGCCAACAAATAAACTGAGGCAATACAGTACAGTATTTTTCTTGTAAACTTATTTGTAAAATGTTTTCCAAACAGCAGGTGGCAATCTTGGTAAATTCGATTGCACCAGAACCATCTTACCTAGATATATACAGATGAAAGACAGTTTTAAAAGACCTGTTAAGAACTGTAGTATGCTAAGACTGGTTAAGGTAACTTCAAATACTACAAGAGTCTTGTATAATCATGCTTTATTGTCTAATGAAATTTGTCCCTAGGTGAACTTAATGTTTTTGTTTAATGCTTGTTTATTTCCAGGCAGCATAGGAGTCATTTCACAGTGCTAAACTGTGTAGGTATCCTTCACATCAAAATGCTGCATGCTGTTTACTTCTTATCATTCTGAATTCATAAGGCTTTAGAATTAAAACAACAACAACAACAACAACACTGATCTTAATCCCAAAGAAAACCTACTGACAAATTGCTGCTCTTAAAGTTTAGTTCCAGTTAGTATTCTTGGTGTTGAACTGTGAGAAATGTTTAGAAGTCTAATTATGAAGAAAAGAAAGTTTTGACTCCTAGATATCTCTGAGAGTACTGTGGTTTTTATAAACAGATGCAGTCATGTTCGATAGAGACAGAAATTCATAGGTTTCTGAACTGAAGAGATCTGCAACTAGTTGTACTCACTATATTTTCAGCGTCTGTATAGCAGGAGAGACAGACAGCTTCCCCACAGGGACTGGCTACCAATAGAACAAGAGATTCAGATTCTCTAAGTTCAGCCTTTTCCTGTATACCTCACTGTGAAGCACTGTCAAATTTTAAAATTTCATCATATCACATTTTAAGTGTGCTTATAATAATTTTGTTGATGACATCATCCTATAAATTATATTTACTGAGTTTTCAATATGCCAATAATATTTTATTGAATGAACATGTGATTTGGAAGAAATCTCTCTCTCTCTTTCTCTCTCTCTCTCTCTCTTTTTTTTTTTTGCAAGGTGGCACTGAGGATTTAACTCAGAAGCACTCAACCACTGAGCCACGACCCCAGCACTTTTTATCTTTAATTTTGAGACAGGGTCTCCTTAAACTGCTGAGGCTGCTTTGAACTTGCAATCCTCCTGCCTTAGACTCCTAAGCCACTGGGATTATAGACATGCACCACTATGCCTGGCAGAAATCTTTCTTTATGTAATCTTTAAAAACATATGCTTTATAATCTGGAAAAGTTCTGACTTTCATCCTTTTCTGTGCTTATATGGAAAAATATTCTAATGTAGTAGCACTTCAACTCTTTCACTGGTAATTTAGACTTTATGCTTTCATTTTAGAATATTTCTCTCATAGGAATTTCTTTGTACAGTGGAAATTGGAGAAAGGGGTAGGAACAGAGATGTTAAATGGCATCCATCAAAGTGAGGTTAATCAGCAATAGAACATAAAATGTCTGAATTTCAACATCATCTCTTTAGCTTCTCACTGAACTATTTAACATATCTTTGTATTTCTGGTATATATAATATAAGGCAACTTGCTTTGTGTTATCAGTAAACAAACATTTCAGAAAATGGTAGAAAAGTTATAAGCTAATTTAAATCATGGTCTTCCATATTTTTATTACCATATTTTTCAATGTCATTTTTCAACAAATCATTTAAAACCAATAAAACTATTCTATGACACCTCTGGAGGGATTTCCCATATAATAGAGAAAATGTAAATTGCCGGGTTATCATTAGCAATCTTTAAACTGAGGAAGTACTGTCCTTGACAAATGGCATTATTTTTAATCTTTTGTAAATTTCAGGTTGCAAACTGTTTCCATTGGGATCATTTCTGTTCATTCTTACCAGGGCATCGCTGTTCACTGCATCGTCTCACTTCTTCGCCTGTTCCTTCACATTGCTGTCCTGTGATTGCTGCACCCTGACAAGTCCTTATTCTTCTTTCCCAACCTCCATCACAGGATTTAGAACATCCACTCCAATGGCCCCACTGATTCCACTGACCGTTGGCTAAAAGAAATGTGTCATGGTCAATGACAGTGCTCTACCACACACTGATTTAGGAATCTGTATATCTCAGAACATTACAACCCCTTGAATTTTTATTAATCTCCACCATGAATAAACTAGTCAAATATTTGACTTACTGGCCAAATAAAGTTCATTGTAATTAGCAAATGGTTATATTAGTGTGTCTGACTTTTGTGTCTGAGGAGTTAGACACACTTACTTGTAAAAGTGTCAGTTCAGTTCTAAACTTTGTTAACTTACTTGGTATTCAATCTCCTGAATTTGTCACTTTACTAACATGGTATTTAGTAGAATAAACTCTGATATACTGGCTTCATTTATTAGGAATATAAAAATATCTTATTATTCCATGATTGTCTGGCATGGCTCTGTCAGGTTTTATTTTATTCACTTATTTATTTTATTTTTCATGGTGATGTGGATTACGCTTGGGGCCTCACCTATGCTAGGCAAACATTCTAACACCAAGCTATAGCCCCAGCCTGGTTCTGCCAGGTTTTATGAATGGCAGGCATTCATTAGATGCAGGACTTACTTACCTGTACACTCAGGGTTATAGCACTCTCTGCTTTCTGCCCATGGTCCTCTGCATTCAGAGCCCCCATGAGCAGCTGCAGTGCACTGTCGGCTTCTCTGCTGGGTCCCATTTGAGCATGTCACTGAGCACTGGCTCCATGAACTCCACTCCTGCCACTGTCCATCAACTATCAAAGCAGAAAGAGAAACATTGTGAGGAGATCTCCCTATTGGGAAGTCTGTACAGAAAGCACACAGTAAAACTAACTTTAACAATGAATCCCCACCAGTGAATTCTCAGGGAATGCAATGGAAGGTCACACTAACATAAGATTTTACTATTACCTCCAAAACTATTATTACTTTTTCACTTATACTTTCTTTTATGTATCCCCAGTATCTCTTTTTTAAAATTTTTAAAAAATTGCTCTAATTAATTATACATGACACTAGAATACATGTATGCACTTTGATATATCATACATAAATGGAGTATAATTTTTCATTTTTCTGATTTTACATGTTGTATAATCACATTGGTCATGCAGTCATATGTGCACATAAGGTAATAATGTCTGATTCTTTCTACTATCCTTCTTACCTCCATATCCCCTCCCCTCCCTTTACTCCCCTGTACCTAAAGTAACTCTATTCTTTCCACCCACCCTCCCCTTATTGTGAATTAGCATCTTCATATCAGAGAAAAGATTTGGCCTTGGGTTTTTGGGGAGTGGCTTATTTTGCTTAGTATAATATTCTCCAGCTCCAACCACTTACTGGCACTAGTATCTCTTTTGATTCACTTATTTCTTCAAAGCTATTGATCATTCAAAAATACAAGGTCTTGAGCCCCAACTTAGAGTACCAAAGGTGAAAAATCAATAAATACTAACCAATGCATCAAGAGCTCATATTTTAGAGAGGGATCTCTTAAAAATAAACCATTAATTGCCTACTAAATAAATCACTGATAATAGAGTGTTGCAAAGTTTGATTTAGAGCACTATGAGAGAAGGACTAGGAAGTTTTCCTTGACAAACTGAGGTTTCAGGCAAGCCCTGAAGAACACTGAGAAAATACTTAGGACATGGTTTCTCTACAAAAGGATACACTGTCTGAGGCAGCAGAAATATGGGCACTTGCAGGAATTGGAATGAGGCCATAGTGAACAGAATCTAGAGAGCCAGGTAAAGAGAGATGGCAGAGGACAATGGTAAAAGAGCAGAGGCCAAATTCTGCAGGGCTTTTGTCAGCTGTGTTATGAGTTTTGGCTGTTATAATCAGATTAATAAGAAGCCCTTGAAGGATGGCATTGATCTAGTGCAGCATGGAGAAAAAGTTACCCGAGAAATAAGGGAGGGTCTGAGGCAGTAATGAAGAAATGTTTGGAGGAAATCAGAAAGCTGCTGGGGAGGAGAGGTGAGAGGAATACCTGAAGGACTGGCCTTGGAAGCAAAAGCAAAGAAAGCATCCAAGTCATTTTCAGATATCTGTATCTGATCCTTAGGATATAATATGGACTGTTAAACTTGACTAGTCTTATCAGTCACTGTGATAGGTGTTAATGAGGGAAAGAGGAAGAAAGGCAAATAAATCCCAACCTCAAAAATCTTATAATTTAATACACTATGCATGTACATAAACAAATTAAAGGTCAAAGGCAAAAACATCTTAACAGGCACATGAGGGATTTAGGCTTTCACAGGATGGATCACATCTGTTTAGGGAGTAATTATATTAAGCTTAGAATAGTGAGATTTGAATAATTTAGAGAAAGGAGACAGCACTGACAAAGGCAAATGCCACAAAATAAAAGAGAAAAAGGAGTCAACAAAAAAATATTTACCAGGTTAAAATAACTTAATTAGCATACATGTTATAATGCACTCACATGTGACTACTTTTTCCCCTATCATTCCATGGTTCTTAGTCAATTTGATTGTAAGTGAAAGAGAATTCACCATAAATCCAAAGTTTTGAGAGAAGCCAATGTTGTTGTGAAGATCCAAACAAATGAGAAAGTCTGGCAGAATATGAGTAAGTACTTTCAACCTAATTCCAAGCCTTACATGTTGCTATACTTAATAAATCCTTTGTGAGATTAAAAATTACAAAACTCCAATTTGATCATCCCATTCATGTAATTTTAGCATCTCACTTTATTAAAAGTATCTGATATAATCTTATTGGCTATGTAGTACATTTGCAGGACAAAAGAGACAATTTTAGTGAATCAATACGACATTATAAATTATCCACTTACCTTCTATTTTGGCTTTAAAGATGAGTGCATTTTTCATTTCAGAATTTGGCTTTTCAAAGATAACACTTATTGAGCTTGCATTATGAACCCTTACTATTCTAAGCAATCTGAGAAGGGTTTATAAAAATAAGACTTATATCTTGTTCCTTACAATCTGTTTGGCAAAAGAATGCACAAGTATGCACATTTTAGAGAAAGCAAAATGAACAGAGATGAATTTGGTGATGCCATCCTAATCTAAGTTACTATAAGAAAGAAATGTGTGCTGTCCTTAAATATTCAGATTTGAAGTGATTTTTAAGTATGTTTTAATATGAATAGTTACACACAAGCAAAGAAAGGAGGATATGTCTTTATTTATATGAAGATGTGGAGTCAGGAATGTGCAAATAAAATGTAGACATTGGAGAGAAGAGAAGTTGGTAGGGAATTATTATTCCTTGAGGAATGAGAAAAGACCTTACTAAAAAGAGATTAGAAAGAGTGAGACATCTGTTTTTGAAATGTTGTCCTCATCAGGCTTCTTCTGAAGGGTGACTTTGCCTCATCATTAGTAAAAGAGTGAAAATTAAAAAAGCAATTTAAAGACTTTATGTTCATGTATTTACAATATTAGTTGCTCAGTCCTTTCTGACAGTCCTTCTGCTCAGTCCTTTTTCTATATTTTGGCTTAAGTTCAAAATTGAGTTAATATTAGAAATTCGAGGGACATTTGAAGTTAAACACTATCATAAAATTAAAAAAAAAATGCATCCAAGATGTGAATGGTTTTGTTCATGAAGTCAGTTTCAGGAAAGAAATAACAATGACATCAAAGATGTATCAAGTGGACTCTTTTGCTGTTTTATTTTACACTGAGAACTGAAAGGTCTTTTATTGAATATTAGCTGCACTACTATGAGTGAACTGAATTGACAAAGTATCTTTTTGGACATAGGAAAAAAAAAACAAGGGGAGAAAACCCAATATGAAATGTAATGCAAAAGTCCAATATGTGTTCCTTTAATGTGTCAAGTTCAAGTTACTGGAAAAATGGAAAATTGAGATGTCAGAAAAGAGAGAGACATTATATATACATTATAAAATTCCTTTTAGTACCGTTAGACAGGTTTTATTGTTAAGGTTTTGCCCATGTCATATCCTAGAAGTTTTCTAAAATTTCATTAATTAGGATGTTCCTTTTAAGGACCTCAGCCCCTAGATGATGGATATAGTAAGTTCATTTTATGAAGTAGGAAAAAAAAAGGAGGGTAGTAAGGTTTTAGGGATGTAGATATTAAGTTCTGTTTTGAACATCTAAAAATTTCCAAGGAGGAAATATGCATTATCTTTCAGAGATAAACACTGAAATATTTGAGAATAAAAACCATTTACCATGTTCCATATCTATAGTTCTTTTTTTTTAAATTGCCCCTCATGTAGATATTCTAGGACATGAATGAATAGCTTTTTATTTTATATCTCATGTTTAACTGGGAAGCCAAAGTGGTGAGGGAGCAGCTCCTTCCACCCTACTCACAGGTTTGGCACGTAGCTAATAGAGACAGTCAATGCCCCCCCCCCCCGACCCTCCTACCCCCGTATACAGTGTCAGTCCTATGTTTTCAGTTGACCCCTCCATATTTGTAAGAGAGGGCTTCCAGGGTAATTGCAAACCTACAAATTTGAAAGAAAACAAACAAAAACAAACCTCAAACTATTGTTCTAAAACTGTAATCCTATTGAAAACTGATTCATAACTTGGTATTTTGTCAGAGAAGAGTTCTCTGATATGTCAGTGTTAAACACTCCCCAATCCCTACTGAAATCTCATAAACACTAATAAATAAAGATTTACTGACAGTTTAGGATGTGTCTTCTTGGACCTTCTTGTGTCTTCTTCTGGGAGAACTGTGGTGACAAAGACCTACTAAGCTCTGCCCTCACAAATGCATACTCTGGGTAGATATGTGAGAAACCGATGATAATCAAGTAAATAAATAAATCAACACATAAAAGCCTCGGTTAGAGGTGTTAGGAAGAGAATGTGAGGAGGGTACTGTGATAGGAAAATGCTCTGCCAGTCCTCTCTGAGGAGACAGTACCACAGCTGGGTCTGAATCACTAAATGGAGCCAGCAATTCAAAGTCTTGTGGAAAGCTCTGTCCAAGTGCAAAGGTTTAAGGTCCCCAAAATTATGTGTGCTCCAGAAAATAAAGAAGGTTGGGTCCTGTGGAGATCATGACAAGGAGAAAGAGGCAGGAGATGAGCTCAGATGGTGTGCAGAAGCCAGATCTTACAGGGTTCTCTGGCAATGTGACCAAGGAAGAAGTTAGCTATGATAGGATTTTAGTAGGAAAGTCATAAATTTACATTTTCAAACTTAATTTTTGTCATATCAAGAATAAATTGTAAAGGGTCAAGAATGTTGGGAGAAACTAAGAAACTATACTATAGTCCAGATAGGGCTAACATTGGCTTGAATTGTGATAGCAACATTGGGTGTAAAAAGAAATGGATCAATCTGTGAGTTAATGGATTTGGAGCCATATATTTGGTGATAAGGTATAGAAGAGTGGAGTCAGGTTGAGAATCCTACTTAATCAAATACATAAAGGGTGGATCCTTTTATTGAACTGGATTAGACCAGTGGTTTGAGGGGTTATAAAGCCCTGGAAACCAAATTCTATATTTATGATATTTTGTTTGGAATGACATTTTAGATATAATACAGGGATTATTATATTATATTGTTTAAAATTGTGCCTCTACTGTTAAAAAATGTTTTATTTTAAAGACATAGTTATGCACTATTTGAAGTAATTCACTTTGTCTTTAAACATTTGCATAGAATGAAATTGAAAGATGTAATAAGATATTCCATGCAAATGGGATCCAAAAGACACACACACACACACACACACACACACACATTTGGTACCAGAA